AAGGTATTACATCAGGCTCTTTCTCATTTTCAATACCCTTCCAGACCTCTCAATTTCCTTCTATGTCCTTGTACCTGTACAGCTTCAGCAGAAGGAAAGACCATCATTCTATAAAGCAGGGATGTGGGGTTTCTCAACCTAGGGAGGGAACTGAATTCATGTCTTCCATCCCGAATTCTCTAACCACTAGACTGCCAGTTCTACTTCCTGCCACTGAATGTTGGATAAACAAAGTACTCCTTATGTCTTTCAATTATTGCTGTAGATACTTCCTGAGTAATTTTTGCTTTTCAGCTCTCTCAGATTAAAACTAGATTTTTCTCCCTTTCAGCTATTAAAGTTTGTGCAGTCAAGGGTATCAAATTCAAATATCTGTATCTCTCTAAAAGTCAAGAAAGAAACAATACAATATTCAATAATGTTAAAAGAAAATAAAATAAACTTCAAACTTCTTGAGTACCTCACACACCCTCTGTGGTTTTTTTAATTACTGCCACTGCCTCCCCAAGCTCTCCCAGAAAGAGAATTTTATCCTTGTGAGGAACATTCAATACAGGCTGAAATAATAGTCAAGAATGAGCTGAGTTCTACTTCCCACAGTGCTGTAAATGTCCAAAGACGCTGCAGGCTGGAAGGATGTCACTAATCAGACTGATGGAACAGATTTATAATTTAGAAATACATTTTCAAAATAGATGTTTTACTCCTGAGTCTTGTATTAAAAAGAACCCATCAGAGTTTGAAGAACACTGGGCAAGATCCTCTCAGATCTCCGTCTGATGACTCAGAAACACCGTGATTAGACAAATAGGGACATAATAGAGCCCTAACAGAACACAACGTAACGTAACCATGTAAGGTTGTTTCTCTTTTGCATGAATCAGGCTATTACTTGCTCGATCAGCAACTCTGAATCCTAAAGTCAGCTTTACTAGAGGGTTCATATTTACAGTCAGGCTTTGAAGTTAATCCAAAAAAGTCTGTGATTCTTCTTGGCCTTTGCACGTCTGTCTCTATCTGCGTTGGCTGGATGGAAAATTTGGGCTGCTTTATTTACTCAAACATGTCTAATCATTGCACGTCATTTAACTGTTACTTGTTATGGAGTTTGGGTTTTAAGGTGACAGACTACAACTGTCAAGAGGCAAAGGGGTCAGCTGTTGTCAGTTAAACCAAGTGGAAGAGGAAAGAGTCACTCAATACATGACTGATCTTCTGTGGCAACAAAATATACAGGCTGATTCATATAACTTTGATGAGAAACATGAATTATTTCATCCTAGCATTAATCAATCACTTTCAATCAAATCCTTATCAGGCTTGCATTGGCATATTTATGAAAAGAAAATACATGACTGTGTTCTTAGCTTTAATGAGCACAAACAATTTCTTCTGCAGATTGTCACATCTTCGTTTAGATTATAACATAGTTGAGGAATGTTGTATGTCACCATTATCCTGATTTCTTTGGCATATGAAAATTTTGTAAGTTACTTGCATGTGCAAAAGAGTTTAGGATGTTGCTGTAGATACAGCAACATTCTTGACAATAACATGACTATGAGGCCGAGTCTGGCCCTTGAACAGTCCTTCCTGGTTCAGAATCACTGTATCCTTATTATTTTGACCGTATTTTAATCCTCAGTTTGAATCTGCAGATTTCAGCCTAGCTAAAAGGAACTGTTTTTTAGGTACACTTTAGTTTATTTCCAAAATAACCTTAGAAGTTTGCAGAGCAGATTATGTCTTTTTTAGGAAACTAATTATGCTCTACAGTCTTTTATGGTGATGGCTGTATAACTGTTAATTTTAAAAGGGGCTGTGAAAAAGGTAACTGTTTTGAAGTGAGTAGGAGAAAGGCAACCAGATCCCATCACACTATTTGCTCTCTCTCTCTTCTCAATATTTAAGTTTGCATGTGAAGCAGGGGTCATGTTATTCTGGCAGCTTCTTAGATATAAATGGGAGGATGCAATGGTTCTCAGGGGACTACCTTTTTTTACTCAGAAAAAAATTATGTTGCTTTAAGTGGAGTTTTCTGAGCCTTTACAAGGTTTTTAAGTTACAATCTGAAGGAAACAGAAAGGCTTCCTAAGGATATAGACAAAATGTAAAATTATCACAGCCCATAAAATGCCTTGTTTGATAGCAAAGGCGTGTAAGGACAGTGGAGCAAGCAAAAGATGTACTTGTAGGAGTACTTACCATGAGGTCTCTGTACCCAGGGAGCCTACAGGATGGCTCATCCTTGCCCCTGCCCACAGGCTGGTGTAAGGTTCTACATCTGCCTTGAGCTCCCTGAGTGAAGGGAGATACAGGAACAGCAAGCAGGATTTATTAAGGAGCAAGGAGGAGCTAAAGGGACTGCAGCAATGTCATTGCCTGGTGTGTTTGCACACACCTGTGTCCCAAGGCACAGCTGTCACCCTTCTCCACCATCCAGATTAGAAGGAGCACAGAGAAGGGTGTTCCAAATCAGCTGGATAAAGCATCATCTGAAGACACCTCTCTGTCTTGCCACTGGCTACAGAGTTAGGCAACCAGCTTTGGCATCTAACTTGCAGATGACTAAAATTAGGTAAGATGAGTCCCACAGCTCCTGAATTAAACATGCCACTGAATTTCAGGCAGTTATACTTCTTCTGAACCTAAGTCAGGCTAACTAAGCTTATATTCTAGGAAAAGGTTCTGTCTTTATTAAGAGACACTAAGAAAAGGAGATTTCCTATCTTCTGTAGCTAGTTTGTTGCAACTGTTGCACATCCTCTGTCACAACCAAAACATCAGAGAAACACTCTGTTTCTCATTAAATTTGCTTAGCTTTAATCTCTTCTAGTTCTTTCATGTTATTTACTAAACTGGGCTTAGAAAAACTTTTATGAGGCTAATCCACACTGAAATAGCTGTAAATAGCCTAGAAAATTGGCATCTAAGGATCTGTGCAAGGGGTTTCATTTATGTGCTTGTTTTTTCAGAAGACCTTGGTTTTGGCCCTTACAAGGTCAAATTAGGTTTCACCAGCAGAATGATGAACAGAAAGACTTGCTTGGATCCAGAATATGCTGGGTTCAGTCGCCAGTAAGGTAGCTACCTAAGGGAGCAAAGCTTTATTTTTTGCTTGGTGAAGAAGGTGGGGAAGGTCCACTGTGATACTGCTTGGACACTGCAGAGGTCAAACTTATCATAGATTGTTCCAGCCAGGGATAGTATCTCTGCCTGTCTCCGTGTCTTAGGAATAGTGAACTAGTGCAGTTAAGTTCTTAACTGAACTTAACAGGGACTAGCCAGTGTGCGAAGGTCAAACACTCTCTTACTGGATTAGAAAAAACTGGAATAAAATTCCCATCATATTTTGCAATATATATGTTTTTCCTACAAGTGCAGAGATGCTTACATACTGATATTTTTTGTGCAAAATTTTCCAAGACCTTTGCAAAAACTTACATCAGAAGAAGTCCACCCTAGTTACCCAGATTTGGAAAGACAGACACACATCCAAGCTGTCAAGCTTTTGGGCCTAAACTTGAATAAAAGCCTGCCCTTTTTTCCCACTAGCAGATGACTCACTGAGTAAACCTAAATGAAGCAGATCCAGTCTAGCCTTTCAAACACATTTGCTAAATATGCCTCCTCTTAAAAGCCTTGTATTTGTGTTAAGGGAACTGAAGAGAGGATATGAAAGTTTTTTGCCATTGATTATACTGGACTATGGCAGTGGTAACTGAAATGAAGACTTGAAAGGTCTTTTCCACCTATCTGTCAGGACTTAAGATCACATTCTGTGTTTCTTCTGCAACAGTTATTGGCACCATTATGACTGAAGAGAGCACAGTTCTATGCAGTACACTAAAGGAGACCCGTAACCCCCAAAGTATGCACCCATTGTGGACTTGGAGCCATGATGGTTAGCTATTGAGCTAGGATTCAGTTTTCTGTAAATACTGTCCCATCTGTTCTCTTGTTTCTCCAAGAAAGCAAGTTAAGTGAGGAAGAATTTATTTTATCTACTTTCACATTTGAGGAAAGGAACAAATTAATTTAAAAGGTGTGATAAGCTTAATCTAAAGCTCCTGTTCTAAGCTTAAGATCCCCAATTCTTCTCTCACTAAGGTTAGAGGTATTGTGGGGATAAATCACTTCTCCCACAGCTATGGGGAACACAAGAAGGTTCTTGTGCTCAAGGTAGAAAGACTGGGGAATTCTAAATTCCTTGAAGAAGGAAGGTGATAATCAACCAGTTTGATCAAGATAGGATCCGCAGTTATTTCCCAAAACCAGCAAACTGAATTATAAATTTCTCAACGTACTGAGCAGTGTTAAAGATCCGACAATCACATAGTATTACAGGCACACGGCCAGCTGCGAGGTAACAGCTCACAGTGCAATCCCTCTGCCTTCGGCAGTGTAGATACAATTCTGAGAGCAGATGAAGAAATGCAAGAATTTGCAAAGAGAAGTTCATTTTTTTCCATGGTCTGCACTGTCCCTTCTTTTTAGTGGTGAGTCACAAATTTTCAGTACGTGAGTGTTGTACATCATATGAACTTGACACATACTACTTTTCCCTAGATTAATGGAGAATGAATAACAATGATTTTTTAAGCTGGATACAGTGTACACCATCTACTGTTTGGCTCCAAGAAAAACCTTTCATTGGAAAAGATATGATGAAAGTGCACCATGGAGACTTAAGAGATTATTGATTTGGGCCAGTCCAGAAAAGCAGAAACAAAACCAGGAAAGGTGTTTAAAAATAATCTTGGAATTTTCAGGTAAAATTCAGGACATGAATTTGAGAGAGTGTTAGGGAGAAAAAGAAAAGTAAGCAGCATGCATGTAACCTGAACAGGAACCAGTGGGATGTTATCTTCAAATAAAGTGATTAACAAAAAGGACTTGCATTTGGCCCATTTAATTTAGTCAGTAGTATTCTTAAATATCTTGTCAAATAAAAGATGCAGACATCTTTGTGTATAGAAAGAGATTTTTGTGTGCATTACCTCCAGGAATGTTTGGGCCCATAGCCGGGACCTGATTTTTAGCGCTGCACTCTTCCCTTTTTCCAGTTGTCCCACAGTGCAGGAAATTAGGATACACTTCACATTTGTACAGTTCTGTGTTCAAAATAAAGGGAACACATACCTATGCTTTAAAAATGTATATAATCACCTTAAAATTTCAATAAATTAGCAAAAAATTAAACTTCCCTTTAAAGACTTAAGTAGTCTGAAATCAGTAATTTCATCTAATACACGAGATGATACTCCATGAGTCATTGTGAGAACTATAAACCAAGGAGAAGATTCTTTTGCACCACCAATGAATACAACCACTTACCTGTAGTAATGAAAATAAAAGTAATAATTTTCAACAATATCTCATCTGAAGATCTCTTAAAATGTCCAGGTACTTATCAATCCCTTGAAGCACGTGCTTTGTCTTTATCAGTCATTTTGTGATTTCAACACACTTATTTTCTCTTCTCTATGCCTGAAGTCTTTATTTGTGTTCTTTATTTCTTTCCCCTCTACTAACTCTCCTGCTTTTCTTACCAATATTTACATTATAGCAGCCAGAACATTTGCTGAGATTCATTAGTTGCTCTACTTGAAACTTGTTGTTCATGAAATATTCCTGATGAGCAGCAATTCTGGCTCAAACACAGCGTTGAAGACAAAAGCCAAGCAATGCAACTCAAAACCATATACTCTGTTGAAATCTGCCAGAAGAATGTCATAAAAAAGCTTAAAAGCTGAGTGGAAGCCACTGAAGGGAATCAGCAGAGTCTCATGGGGTAACCACAGAAATGATGCGGTTGTCTGAGGCATAAAAAGGAAGAAAGATCTCATAGAAAAATGATTGAAAGTGTGTGTAAAAAAATATATAGGTTTCCATATACTGACGGGTTTCACCTGAAAAGTTTTGGTTTGATTCAGGAGGAAGGCTGAGGCTTTAACTGATTCATATTATTATAACAAAGCAGAAAATCCTTCCCTTACAAATGTTTTATCAACACTCATGACAGAACGTCTTGTGACCTTGAAAGCAAAGCTAAGTTTTCACAAGTACATTCCCTTGGGAGAGTGAGAATGGCTGCACTACCAAAGCTGATACTTCAGAAAAAGAGATGATGATGTATGTAACAGATCTGAAAACACCCTTAAGGAATCCTCTATCCTTACAGACAGCTTTCCCCACAAATCTCTACCTTATTACAAGTTAAGTAGAAACTGTATGCTTAATCACTCTTTTCTAACTCTGCCTGAAAATGAAACTGTAAACCCTGGAACTTGTAACTATAGAACTTTTTTTTAAATTACTATTTCAAAGTATCTGTTTATTTGGCTTTTCATATTTAAACATCCTCCAACCTGATTTATTTATCTTGCAGGAAGGAGGAGAGCTGTTTTCATTAATCATAGTGGCCCAAAACACGTATTAACAGAATAAATCATTAGTATGCAAAAAAGTCTACTTTTGGCTGACATTTTAGGACCTGAATACATATTTCTATTTTTCTTAGTAATGCATTTGGCCTGTAGTAATTTTCAGAACACCACAACGTTCAGACTAATGGAAGAGAAACCAAATGTTTAATATACAGTATAAATAGAATAAGAGGTTCTCAGAACATTTTTCCACTCTGTAAAAATGCTTTGATGAAAATGAAATTAACTTAAAATTTCTGATTAAAAAAATACAAATTTTAACAAATAATTACCTTTGGTTCATCAGTCATTTTCCAGAGTAACATTCACTTTCCATTTATACTTCAAAAGTGTAACAACAAAAAAAAATATCTGGGTCTGTAGTATGCAATGCTGAAGGCACATAGAATTGGGACAACTTTCTAAATGACATATTGCTTTTCTATGCCTGTCCTGGAAAAGTCCTGCTATATATCCAGTGGTAAGCACTGTACCCAGTCCCATCCTAATTTGTGCTTATCAAAAGCATATTGTACTAGAAGACTGCTCATCACAGTGCCAATTTTATATTACTAAGTACTCAGCTAAATACTGTCTATTTAAATATCAACCAGCTGAAAAAAATTCTGTTTCGTATTTTAAGATGCAGACACAGTATATACTTAAGAACTTCGTTAACCACTTTCAGTTGCTGCAGTAATTTCTATGTTGGCAGCATACGAGCCTAATCACTAAGAAAGACAACTGATAATTAGGGTATTACTGAAGAATGGATTAAGTGTTCTGTAGTATTGACTGGTATGTCTTCAAAAGCCCAGGCTTTTTTCCTTCAGCCCCAGTGGAATCAGATTCTTCCCAGGGTATTAGGCTGATGAAAGAATTACACAGGAATCAACAGTGATTACTGTTTAAAATGGGTTCATCTGTGATTTTGTTCTTAATAACATTATGGTATTCATTACTTTCAGATTCTATCTTCTTCCTGTTACAAAAATTGCCAAATTAACTTTCAGAAGCAGCATAATCATTCTATTACTCTAGAATACTTAGGTCTGCCAGGTTCTTCCTACCAAATTCTAGTGATGTCAAGAAATTCAAACATGAGCTTGCAGTAAATAGCTTAATAAGAGACTGGACAGCATGAAAGAAACTCTGCCTGAGGTTCATAAAAATAAATGGAAAGCACTGACTGAATGAAACCCACTACTGACCTCAAGGTCACAGAGTTTGAACACAGTCTCTAAGTGAGAGAAGCTGATACCCATAATGCTGAAGTATGCTAAAGATGGGACACTGAATGCAGGAATGGAAAAAACCCCAACCTTCTGAAAATGCAGCCAAGTGCAAATACTCAGGTACCAGAACTGTTTTTCTGGGAGAGAGATCTTTGCTCTTGCTCCAGAATTGTCTGGAATGTTAAAAATGCAGTGGCCTGTCCCATTTGCCTTGTTTGTGGTACTGTCAAGGGAAAGACTCTTACCTTTCCATGTGCATGTAAGTACTTATCGAGGGGAACAAGTATATTCTAAACTATTTGTATGTCAGAACTGCTACTTTATATTAAAATGTTAATTTTAAGTGTGAGCTACTCTTTATGAAAGAGCTTGAAAGCTAAGAGTCAAGTTGACAGAGACAGCTGTGTTTCAGTAGTCAGAATCTGAAATTTAATTTGTAGAAGAAAGGCTCATTCTTGAAATCTGTGCTGAAATTCCCAGTAGTAAGTATGACATTGCATGACCACAGAGGTTTGTCTGCCAACAACCAGAAGTAAGACAGCCAGGAATTTGGCATGCTTGATCTTTAATGTAAAAATCTGTCAAACAAATCACTAACCTGTGGCATGGTGATATGTAACAAACAATATCTGAAACTGAGAGGTTAGAAATCAGGTAGAACAGTATTTAAAAGTTTGTAAATAAATTGCAGTCAAATCAGCCACCTTGATATATTGCATGCACAGTCCCAGTTTCTAGTTTTTAGATAGCTCACCAATATTTTTGCAGAGTTTTTCCTGTGAGGTTCTGCCACTGTGACATCCCTCCTCATGATGTAATGAGAAATTGTGGAATTATACAAAAAAGCAGCAAGTTCAGGAGTGTCTTGTGGAATAGAAAACTGCAAAAAGGAAAAAATGTGAATGGTAATGACATACTCAGACAACGATTCTAACAGATTTGTTCCCGTCTCAGTGGTCTTGAATTTTGGATTAACACTGTTTATTCAATTTAACAGCACAGTCATGAGAATTTACTGTCTTCAACTTGGGGCAGGATTAGTAATAGCACAGTGAGATATTGCCCAGTTATAGGAATTACAGTAGGTAACAGTTTGTTTCGCTTTTTACTGGAGTCAATTTCATTGCTGTACTTATTTCTGTCAGGCTCTTGGGGTCAGATTCTGATCTCTGTAACAGGATAAATTCAAAGTTACTGCACTGAAAAGTGGTCACTAGTTCAGATCAAAAACTACCAATTGAAATATAGTGATTTAACCAGCTTTAGTAAGTAAAAGAAAAAAAAAAAGGAAATCTGAATTCTAGCAACACAACTTTTGATCACTATTTGTTACACATTTATTTTGATAACAACTCAACTTTGTATAATGCAACACTTTGTTCATTTTTAATCTCATATTAAAATGCATTCTGTCCAGTTTTATCTTCACAGATTTTTATTCTCTGATGAAAAGCTATTTTTAGTGTTGGCGGTTTGTCTTTAGTTTCTAAACAGAGCATTTACAGCTTCTTTCAAGAAGCTTCAGAGAATGCCTGGGAACCCAATTACTAGAGGGAAAGACAAATTGTAATTTATGACAAGTCGATCATGTAAAATCACAATAAAATGTATGTGGAAGTTTGTAGTAAGATCTGAACAAGAACTCACCTAAACATAGACAAAACTATTCTTTAAGGGCCTCAGATTATAAAGAGCTACATCAGATCCATCTTATCAGTTCCTTTAACCTCTGAACACAAATATCTTAAACAAGAAAATGTTTGTAATTGTAAGAAATGTCGTAGCACTAAAGGGAAGAGAACAGCTATAAACACACAAAACTTTCCACAGGCTAATGCTCTGTAGTACTGCACTTGCAAAGTTGGTACCATTCATCTGATTAAAATTGTGAAGCTACAGAAGGAACTATTTTGACACTGTCTGAGATCTTCAGTCAAAACCACCCTGCAAAGTAAAAGATACTATAATTTATTAACTGATGAAAACCCCTTAAGCAAAAATAAGATTTTTTTTTCTGTTGCTTAATTAGGTTAACATTGTCTTTTTGCAATAAGGGAACAGTTAAATAGCTAGTAAATCTCTCTCTCTCAATGTGATAACATGTGGGAATTCTCTTTCCAGGATTCTTTCACCAGCATATACAGGCTTCTTTAATGATGACAAATCAAAAGAACCACAATATAACAACATGCCTTTGAAGAAGCCCTCAATATACAATCAAAACTGATAAATATGTAGATCCATTTGAATGATTGGATGATTTTTATATTTATTTATACTTTTAATAGATCTTAGAGTGTTAGCATCTTCAGTAGTGAATAGCTGACACACTGTAAGGCTGCGCTGCCATTCAGAGAGATCTGGATAGGCTGGAGAGTTGGGTGGAGAGGGACCTAATAAAGTTCAATAAGGGCAAGTGCAGGGTCCTGCACCTGGGGAGGAATAACCCCAGGCACCAGTACAGGTTGGGGATTGACCTGCTGGAAAGCAGCCCTGCAGAGAAAGACCTGTGAGTCCTGGTGGATGACCAGTTGACCATGAGCCAACAATATGTCCTTGTGGCCAAGGCGGCCAATGGTATCCTGGGGTGCATTAAGGAGAGTGTGACCAGCAGGTCAAGGGAGGTTCTCCTCCCCCTCTACTCTGCCTTGGTTGCATCTGGAGTATTGTGTCCAGTTCTGGGACCCCCAGTTCAAGAGAGACAGGGAACTTCTGGAGAGAGTCCAGCAGAGGGCTACAAAGAAGATTAAGGGGCTGGAGCATCTTTCTTATGAGGAAAGGCTGAGGGAGCTGGGTCTGTTTAGCCAAGAGAAGAGAAGACCTGAGAGGGGACCTTATTAATGTTTATAAATATCTAAAGGGTGGGTGTCAAGAGGATGGGGCCAGACTCTCAAGTGGTGACCAGTGACAGGACAAGGGGCAACAGGCACAAGCTGGAGGACTGGAGGTTCCACTTAAACATGAGGAAAAACTTCTTTACAGTGAGGGTGACAGAGCACTGGAACAGGCTGCCCAGAGAGGTTGTGGAGTCTCCTTCTCTGCAGATACTCAAAACCTGCCTGGATGCGACCCTGTGCAACTTGCTGAACCTGCTTTGGTAGGGGGGCTAGACTAGATGATCTCCAAAGGTTCCTTCCAACTCCTACCATTCTGTGATTCTGTGTGATTCTGTGAATTATTACAGCAAAGGTTTGAAAACAGCCCTCTGTGATTAAGAGAAAATATACATGTTTCCTGCAACAATTTTAAAGCAGACTTTCTCCAGTGGCCTAGATGTTCAGGGTAGATTTTATTAAATACTATTTTATCCTTGAGCCAGTGGCATGGAATTGTACAACTCTGTTTCTGTAGCTATTTTATATGCCACATATTTTGCACACCATACCTTATTTTAAATGGATTCTTGCTCCCTCCATTTAACTACAATGGACTCTCTTGGTTTTCCCACCAGGGCAAACTGTACTGCTTTCTTCTCCTGAGCCTTGTCACCTTGAGCAGATTTCCAGATCTCGACAATTCTTCACTTCTAATTTCAAAACCTGGTGTAGCTTTCTTCTTTTTCTAGCAAGGCAATACCCTCTGATGTAATGCGTAACTCCACCAGAAATGTTCTGGAAGAGGACTTTGTGTAAAAGCTGTTATACAAGAGGTGTCAGTGACCATTCAAGAGTAATGCCTTGGATGGTAATATTTTGTCTCCAGACCAGGACTTAAACACAGTAATAACGACTCTGCAGCAGGAGGAAACACTGCCTCTGGAGGAGGTTAGCTCCTGCCAGTCATGTTGGTGGTTGTACCTTACCCACATGGTGGACTTTAGCTGCTCTTTTGCTGCTTCCCTGACAGACACCGCACTCATGGTACTGCAGTGCTTAGCCACTGAGAATGTGCCAGGTGTGTCACCCTGTATCATATACCATAGTTAGAAACCACTGCCTATATCTCTGGTATTTACAAGCACTGTCTCCACAAAACTACTTTTCATCATCAATCTGGGAAAAAAAACAAACCAACTTGTCAGGAATAATGGCAGAGGCCAAAAGTCCATCTAGCTGAGCCCTCTCCTCATCCACAATGCCTTCAAGCAGATGTGGAAGGAAGAGTAAGAACAGGGCATGCGTACATAATGCTCTCTCCTCTTATCTTTCAGCTTCCAAACGTTTTCAGCGCAGGGACTTCCTGATCTGCATGAAGTTTTTGTTCATTTATTAATCTTCACTGGACTTCTCTTTTGTGAATTTGTCCACTTTCCTCTTAAAACCATGTAAACTTTTAACCCTGACTACTTCCTTTGGCAACAAGTTCCAGATATCTAATACCTGTCACATGAACCCCTACTTCCTTCTGCTTGTTTTGAATCTGGCTCTACAGGCTTCATTTGACGCTCCAGTTCCTGTGCAGTGAACACACTGCACTCCTGTGTAGGAACAGGCAGAGAGCAGTCAATCCCCACCCACACTCTTCCCATCACTTCTGATCTTGTGGGTCATATTTGTGCATAGTCGCCTCCTTTCTAGACTGAAGCACCCTAGTGTATTGAGTTCTTCTGCAAGGGAATCTGTTTCATATCTTTGATCAGTTCTTTTGCTCGTCCTTAGACCTTTTGAAAGATTCATAACTTTATTATTGTTTCATGTCCCTCACCATATCCAGAGAAAGATAAGCTACAGAAAAGGAAAGGTCCCTAAATAAGAGTCTTCCCATGTGTGCATAGGTTTGATTTATCTTTGTGTAAGAAACAACAAAGCACAAAGGAAACCTTTCTACAAGACAAGAAATTCAGCAATGGGGAGCAATATACTGCTTTAACTGAAACTGGGCAATCTAAGTAATTTCAAAGAGGAAATGCCCAAGCACCCTAAGACAGCTAGGTTCTGAAATCCAAGAGGAGCCAGGTATATAATGTCCTTAGCCTTATGTCCTTAACCCTCAGGAAATCTGAGCCAGGCATCCTGCTGTTTATACAAAACTTGAAGGAAGCTGTCTCTGCATCCTCTTCCCATGTGAAGCAATAGATAAACATTACATATCTGAAACCTGATTTGTGCATTCATGCTGTTCAGTGCTTTGAAAAGCTGAAATAAAGAAAGAATGTTTAAATTCTTACAATTAATGATTGTGCATCTAAAGCCATATTCTGCAACGGCAGATAGAGACCATTATTTCATTATTACAGGAAGGTTTCACACAAGCCTCACAAGAATTTAGTCTTGCATGTGTAACAGATGTAATCATTAACAAGTAGGAGAAGGAAGAGCAAATTCAAAAAAATGAAAAAGAAATCATCAAAAAAATACATTGCCTGAAAATGTCATTAAGAACTGTGGCACCATTCTACCCAGGAGCTCTGCCCTTCTCCCATCTCAGCTTCTTAACTGAAACTTAAAACAGAGCACGGCAGCTAGGAGGAGGGATGCTGAACTCCTTTTCATGTATTTGCAACCTGATCTGAACAGTGGCTTTGAGATGCTAAACTTGCAAATACAAATGCAGCAGCTCAGCTTCTTGCTCTTCCCCACTTCTGAAAAATAGGTGGAAATGGGGTGGAAAAGATTAATGGAAAAAATCCTGTTTCCAAATTTGCTGTGTTTTGGGTACAAAATGGAAACATTTCCTGTCATCAGTTCCCCAATTACTTCCTTTTTCTTCCTCTAGAGAAACGAAATTAAAAGGTGGAATCATAACCACTCTCTGGCTTCCTAGGTGAAGCACAAAAATCCAGCCAAAATGTATTTGGCATACATCAGTTTTTCTACATTCCTTCGAGTATATATTGTAGTTTGGTCTCTTTAAGCTAAAGACATGTCTTGTAGCTCCTGTGGTCATGAGCAATCCCCTTCACTAGAACGATGTCTCCCCTTTCATCTACTGTACTGAACCCAAACCCCTCCTGGTATGCAAAAGACTTATAGCACTTTTAGCATTTGGAACACAGCTCTCCCTGCAAGATGTTTAACAGGCTACTGCTTAAACTTGAGAAGTGTTGTTTACTCCAGAAGTGTCTGGAATCAGTTATGCTTAATAAATTGGATACCTTGTTTCTGATGGGATAATATGTAGATCTGTGTTTTGCTATATTTTCTGACTTTAAGCCAAATCAAACCCTTTTGGGGGGGATCTGCCATCACAAATAGAGATCTTAAATCAGGCTTTCAGACACTGGCATACCAACACTTTATTGAGGAGGCCGCTACTAAGCTTCCCCATGTTAGTGTTTCCTCCAGACTCTGAGGTCTCCTGCTCTGCCATGAAAGAAGAACCATGTCCATGGAAGAGGAAGCAATTCCAATGACAAACAATGCCTAGGAGTAACACTTATGAAAAAAAATGTGTAGGGGAATTTTTTCCTTTTTGCTGGTATGATTAAAATAATTACAGAATCATTTCCAAGTAGAAAAACCAAAAGCCTGTCATGTTGCTGATGAATCTGTAACTTTTATGAGTTAATATTGATTAAGCCATAAGATAGTTGTAGACTCTATGAATCTTTTTATCAAGTGCCAGTACATGAAAACTTCAATTTCTGGAGTACATTCCATGCAGAATTCCAGTTGATAGTTTCACTATATAGGATATTCAAAGTATGTTCTTTGAAAAATCAAAATCATTAACACTTTAGGACAGGCAAAATATATATAGGCTTCTAAAATGACTCCCATTTTACAGATTATACTATCTTGTACTAAGTTGAGTTTAACCATAACACAAAATATAGCATACGATACTAAAAACGTGTATCTTAGCATATACTTGGTGCAAGGAAATAGCCCCTGGCAACAAAACATGCTGAGGACTGACTGGCTAAGAAGCTGAAAAAAACCCCACATACTGAGGACTGACTGGCTAAAAAGCAGAAAAAGACCTGGCTTAAGCTGCACATGAGACAGCACCGTGTCCTGTCAGGAGCGAGGGCCAACAGCATCCTGGGCTCTGTGAACAGGAGCAAAGGCAGAAAACAGAGATCAGCATACTGGAATCAGTTCAGTGGAGGGCTCCCAGGGATGCTCAGGGCTGGAGCATCTGTCTGGCATGGAGAGGCTGAGGGACCAGTGCTTTTTCAGCCCAGAGATAAGAAAGCTTTAGGGGACCAAAGCTGTCAGAGGGAGAAGGTTATTATAAAAATCGAGCCAGGCTTTTCACAGAGGTTCATGGTGGGATGACGACAGAAAATGGGCTTAAATTGAAACGAGAGGTTCAGACTAGATGTAGCAAAAACTTTTTCCCTTTACAGACAATGAAGAAGGGGCAGAATTTGCCCAGAAAAGTTTTGCAGTCACTGTCCTTGGACGTTTTAAAGACCAGACTGGATAAAGCCCTGAACAACCTAATCAGATCTCATAGCTGATCCTTCTTGAGCAGGATGTTGGATCAGAGTACTCCTGAGTTCTATTCCAACCTGAATTAGCCTATGATCCTAAAAAAACAAATCACCATACAAATTAGCTGTAAATTATTTGCATTGGAATAAAAAACTTTTAAAGTTTTAAAATACTTAATGCTACAATACCTGGTGGCTGTGTGCTATCTATTAAGTTATCAGCTCTGAGAATTTAATGTCTTTCAATTTAATGATATTGCATTATTGTGCTATAAAGGATTTTTCCCACTGCTAACAAGTTCAGACCTTTTGATAAACAAACCAGTGCTAGGCTGTATTAGACTCAACTGAAGAGCTATGTGCATCCTTTGACATAACATAGGTTTACATTACCTTTGGGAGTTCATCTGCTAAGCACTGCTGTACAGATGACTTTCTGAATTAATGCACTCCTTAGGACACAAGAATTTTCATGAGAACTGAAAGATTTTGTATCATCTGTTCAAAGCCACGTTAAAAATGACACTTAAGGAAAACCCTGCAAATTTCCATTTAAAAAAATAGCTTGTATCCATTGCTGCGATACTGAATCAAAAGACAAGTTTCTTCTGGTGAGAAGAGTATAGAAACCCAACACATAACGCACAACACCACTGACACACTAGAAACATTACAGACTATCTATTGATATCTTGTGCCTTACCCAGGAAAATGAACTCGGGGTCATTGTACAAGATTCCCAAAAAGTTCCATCCCATTGTGAAGTGTAGGCAGAAAAAATCAGGCAAAATGCAGACAGGGATGGAAATAAAAGAGGTGACTTACCTTTATTTGCATTGTATTAATAGGAGAACTCGTTTGACAGTGCAATGGTCCATGTGTCTGAATATGAAGAATATAAAGAAGAAATTCTTCTCGACTGGACACAGGCCAGCCAACATGGAGAACTGTACTGTTGATAGCACTTGGTCCTATATTGTGCAGCTGTCAAACAAATATAATCAGTACTTTCAGTAAAAAACAACAAAAACCACAACAACTACCACTTAGATGTTTTCAAATCCTTAGTGTCCACAGCCTTGAAGCAGTTTGAGAAAGATGCACAGATTATTAATATCACTTTATTAATGGAGAATCTGTGGCAGGTAGAGGAAAAGGACCTCTCCATGTTAGTTACAAAGCCAGTGAAAAATCTGGGAGAACAACCTTTTTTGTCTGAGTCCATATTCAAGAAATCCATCACCTTTCCCATTTTTTCCTACATATGACAGAGTTGAAATTACCTAAAAAGTATAAAAAACCCAAACCAAAACACACTAGCAAAATACACTATACAAACACATACAATGAACCTTAACAGAACATACCTGAAAATAGTAGCTGAAACTTCAGGACACAAAAGAATCACATTTCAGGGTGCAGGAATAGAAGGTATAGCAGAGCTTAAACTATTTTTTTGTGGTTAAGAACTTGATTTTCAAATACTTCTCAGTTCAAATTTCTTCAAAAGAAAAAAAGGAACTAGTTTTCCTAAACTACCATCCCAGGACATGATTATTTTCTGGGAAAATGAGAAAAGATAGAACTAACAGAAATCTAAAAATCTAGGCTATTAAAATAGTTTTCTTATATCAGTTTACAATTTGAAATTATCTGATGACCACAGGAAGTTTGAGTATGTGTTGACACTAGACATGAGAGCTAAAGAAGCAGAACACCATGGAGCTTTAGTCATAGAGATGTGAGAATATCCTTCTTTTAAATGTGCAGAATTTTTGTGACTGATGAGCTTTATTTAGAACCAAATAAAATTCAAATTCAGTCTTAGATCTTCTGCAGGAAAGGGTTTTTAGGTGGGTGTTTGGGCTTCTTTAATGCTTTGCTGATATCAATTAACCATGAAAGTAGATTCTTTACTCACTGTAACTATTTTAATACATTTGAAGTCACATATATAGTTCTACAAACAGCCCAAAAGCTCGAGACAGGAAGATTTGTTAGAGATTTTTCAGTTTAGAGAAATCAGTTAAGATGAGGAATTCACAAATAATATTTCGTATTTTAGAGTCTGTTTCATTACAGTTTAGTATTAGTCATGCAAATTTTAATCTTCCACTGCTGATTAAGTTCAGTGGCTTATATTTTATTGAGTGCTAGTTTGTGAATTATAACCATATGTGAAGCACTCTGTTTTACCTCCTAGAATAAAGGTCATCCATCAGAATCCAAAGATGGTCTGTATTCCATACAGTTCACTCAATGCACTTTTTGCAAACCCGAACTCTCCTTTTTTAATTGATGAATCATCAGTAGAGAAAACCCAACAACAATGCAAGGTAGAATTATGTATACTTCAAACATTAAGAGCTACTTCCAACAGAACATCTTCTGAGCAAAGAGGTAACAAATTATATGTATATCTACAGGTTTTTTTCAATTAGATAAATTTCAATGGAAATATTTTTTCCTGTGCACAACACTCATAGCTTTTAATGAGAAACCAGTCAAATCACTAAAATTATTTGGCACTGATTGCAATGAGCTCTCAAGCACTGTTTTTAATTCATATCAAACACCCAAAATGTTTATAGACCCCTTAAATGTCAAAGACAGACTCTTAGCATAAACTAACACCTCCTCTACCAACATGAACTGATAATGGGGTTGTGAATTCCCAGATTAAATTTGGGTCATCTGCTAAAGTCAGAGTATTTACATTTGTGGTTTTTTTCTAGTTGCAAATAACCCCAAATCATCAGGATTTCAATGGGAGCAGCATGAGGTCCTGTGACAACATATGTCATTTTTACCTCATAGATGTGTTCTACTAAAGGACCAAGTTCTTCTTCTTTTGCAGGTTCATCTTTGGGTTCCCAGTTGTGAAGTGGCAAAATAATTGTTGGGGGGTGAGACACTCTGTAATATATAAAATAAGTTAAAACAATAACTGTTACCAGTTACCAGATCGGCTGCTTTATTTTTACAAAAAAATTAAGATTACTACAGATAACTGAGCCCTTAAGGGCATTTTCTTTGGGCACATTCATTAGAATGAGGTGAGGTGAACAATACAATGCTTCCATAAGTACTGCTCAGTCCTTACAGACTACTGAGGGCATGCATTTAGTTTCACAGTTCTTCTGGTGGATGGTCCTTTCCAGACAAGGGAGTGACTCTTTCTCTATTTGTAGAGAGGAATGCAGTCTGTCAGGCATTTACATCATTTTCACTGGTGAGGTGTGTGCACACATAATCCACAAAAATAGGGTAATGCTACATAAATAAATGTATTTTCTCATTTCTATTTAAAGCCTGTAGATGTTTAGTGCTATGCACCTTCCTTCCCTGACATACCTTTTTGGATATTTATTTAACTGCTCTGACTGTAAATTCCTTATAACCTCTGTTATTATTCCTTAAAAAAAACCCCTTGCAAAGTAGTCTATCTCATTTTTACAGGTGGGAAATTGAGATGCAGTTAGGGCAAACGACTTCCATAAAGTCACAATGGAAACTGGTGTATCAAGAAACTGAATTCAGGACTAGAGCCTGAAATAGTGCTCCAGGCTTCTCATTTGCTTTGTAAGTGAAGTGGCAGCTACGACATTCCCTGAAACACTGTTGCAACTTGCAACATGTAAATCAAACATAAATGAAGAATAGCCACTCAATATTTGACATCTATCTTTCTGTCTGCTGTTTTGTTTTTCCGTTCCTTCTCCATCTGTCCTCGAGAAAGGCCAAAGTACTCTTCTGTTTATGTTTCTATTTAAATCAAAAGCATTTTATTTCCCATAAAAACTGGAAGTTCTTTGGAGGGGGTCTCATTAAGATGCCAACTTTAACCTCATTCAGTTGTTGAGAAATTGGGAAATCAGATCCCAAGAATTCCTCTTAGCATGGTAGGTGAGTTCTGGCACAGACATCTGTCATCTGCTAGTATTGGAAGCAGCTCTTGGTGCTAAAATGGTAAATATTACACTTTCCTTACAAGGGTCAACTTTCACCCAGTTTTGCTGGTTTCCAGAATCCTTAGCTTTAAGAAAAGCCATAAAATTTCAATGCTTGTTCTGACAAAGCTGGAATTTTGCTGACAGAAAACTGTTAAAATAGAATTGCTAATGAGATTTTTTTTTAGAAGGTAACATTTAACTAAAATGTTGGACTCTGTCCACTGATATTAATTCACATATTGAGTCTAAACACAGAAGGCACCACTGCAAATTGCCCCTTGAAGAAGAGAAAAGAAGACTCAATATTTCTGAAGAACAGAAGACTAGATGTTTTTCTTGCAAATGTTGACACTTTAAAATACTTTAGCAAGAAACAAACTGTCCCCGCTTCCAGCTCCTATGTCATATACAATGACTGAAACGTTTGATGGAAACTTTGCTAGAGAATGCAGCTTCTCAGAGCAGCAAGAGATCCTGGAGAAGAAGTTCTTAATGAAATTTAAGGGATCCTGGAGTATTCTGCTAAGTCTAAATATTTCCTCAGACTTCAAAAGGCCAGCAGTTTGTACTAACAAGTATGCCAGAGGACAAATTTACAAGCCAAACCAAATAATAAAGGAAATGAAACATATTCATTAAAAAGTAATTTCAGATTAGGTACTTAGAATAATTTGTTATCTTTCACAAATGGCCTTGCTTCCAATAAGAATTTTAGTTATTAATTGTTGGAGAACAGGAACTTTGTCTGTTGTTACAAAAGCCAAGCCACAGAGACCCTTAAGCTACTGCAAAAATTTGAAAACCAGAAAGTGTACATAGACAAAAAAGAAGCAGGCATGAGGTTTCAAAAACAGTGTTCTCTATTACATTCCCTGTGCAGTGTTTTTCTTATCCACAGAATTACAAAGTACAAAGTGTAAATGTAGACATTCAATAGAAATTATTATAAAACACACAAGGATATTTTTTTAAAAGATTGTACAGTTATTTTGAGGACATCTGCTATTGATGTGAAAGTAGCAAAATCAGGTCAAATTAAACAGAAACCCTCTCTTTTGACTATTTTATTTTGCATTTAACTGAGAATATTCTTAGCATTTAAATTATTTATTAGATGAGGATTTTTCCTAGATTTTTTGGGTGACAATGATCAAACAAGAGCACTGAAAAATAAGATAAAGGATATAGATAATGTTCTACAGAAAATGCTTACGTAGAATATACGAGGATTCTGCCAGCTGCAAATCCTCCAGTCCAAATTACTTCCCTCATTCCTCTAGTGCTCTTTCAGAAGTGGGAAATAACAATTAAAACTTTAAAACTCCTAGTTTTATAGAAAAAAAAAAAGTAAGCAGAATAATCAAATCTCAGTTACCAGAGCAACTGCTCATTGAATGAAGTATCTAAGGAGTTATCTTAAATTTCTTTTGAATAGGATACTGAAGAAGATTTTTTTCCTTTCTCATAGAGGAGTATTTGCACGGGCCCACTGTGCAAGTGTACATGCATATATGCAAATACACAATTTGATAACTACTTTATTTTCCCCAGTAAAATGCACAATGACTCCAGTCCCACTTCATGCAACTCTGTGCAGAGCAGCAGGGAAACCAATGCAAGATATTTTCCAGTCCAAATGTGGATATAATTTCTCTTTTATTTTTATCTAGGAAACTGTGAGCAAATAGTTCCCTTGGAGCTGTACGCTTTAGCCTCTCTGAGTAATTAGCAAAATCTGCCAACAAAGGGTTAGGGAATTTTCCTTAGTACACGCATGCTATAGCAAAGAGAAAAACTAAAAGAGGAAAGGAACTGGAAGACATTCAATTAAGTAATTTCTCTGTAATTAATGACCTATTTCTTAGCACTGCAGGCAGCAATTCAAGCCATTTTTCCACTTGTGGGCATGCTCTTTTCAAGAACTGAGGTTATTTTGGTCATTTTTTGGTGTCTATCTATTTACCTATTACAGAAGTTTTCACTAAAAAGAACACACTATGGCACAGAAAGAACATGGTGGAGGCAAAAAGTTTCCAGTTTGCTAAGAATACAAAAAGTTTGTAAGATTTTTTTGTATGAAAGTGACAAGCAACCTCAATGGAAAGACCAGAATCCAGAGCACTGGAAGCAGCCCTTATTGAGAAGTCTTGTGTATGTATATGCAACCATTTCATGATGCACTGAAACTCCAGCCAGTACTTAACCTGGGTGTCCATCCATGGCAACATCTAGTAGTTTTGGTCTCCCAGCATTTTCTCACACATCTGCAGACCACCAGCTAACCCCTTTGATTCTTACTTCCTCAGCCTCTGTTTCTCTTTCTCTGTTACCTTCCCCCTCATTTTGTATTTTTCACCTCTCTTTCTATCCAGCTCATTTCCTTAGATCACCACTAACTACAGAAAATTAAATAATACTCTAATTACATGTTCTTGCTAAACATGTCGTGTTTCAACTGCTCCTTTCCAGAAATATAAGCATTAACATATATCCACACAGTCTTTGAGTACAAGTCCTCTTTTTTTCCACCTAACTCTAGTCTTAGGGTTCATCTTCTTAACCTGGAAAGCACTTGTGAAATCTGATGAAAAATACTTTTAAAATCTCTCTGAATTGAGTGGAAATCACGATCTCTGTGATCTGCAAAATCATAGAATCATAGAACGGTTTGGGTTGGAAGGGACCTTTAAAGCTCATCTAGTCCAACCCCCCTGCAGTGAGCAGGGACATCTTCAACTAGATCAGGTTACTCACATCTCTGTCCAACCTGACCTTGAATGTTTTGAGGGATGAGGCATCTACCACTACTGTGGGCAACCTGTCCCAGTGTTTCGCTACCCTCATCGTAAAAAGCGTCTTTCTTATATCCAGTCTCAATCCATCCTCATTTAGTTTAAAACCATTTACCCCTTGTCCTGTCACTACAGGCCCTGCTAAAAAGTTTGTCCCCATCTTTCTTATAGGCCCCCTTTAAGTATTGAAAGGCCACAATTAGGTCTCCCCAGAGCCTTCTCTTCTCCAGGCTGAACAGCCCCAGCTCTGTCAGCATTTCTTCAAAAGGAGAGGTGTTCCAGCCCTCTGACCATTTTTGTGGCCCTCCTCTGGACCTGCTCCAACAGGTCTATGTCTTTCCTGTGCTGAGGGCTCCAGGGTTGGACACAGTGCCCCAGGTGGGGTCGCACCAGAGCAAAGGGGTAGAATCACCTCCCTTGACCTGCTGGCCACGCTTCTCTTGATGCAGCCCAGGATACGGTTATTGGCCTTTTGGGCTGCAAGTGCACATTGCCGGCTCATGTCCAGCTTTTCATCCACCAGTATCCCCGAGTCCTTCTCCACAGGGCTGCTCCCAATCCCTTCATCCCCCAGCCTGTACTGATTCTGGGGGTTGCTCTGACCCAGGTGCAGGACCTGCACTTGGCCTTGTTGAACCTCATGAGGTTCACATGGGCCCACTTCTCAAGCTTCTCCAGGTCCCTCTGGATGGCATCTCATCCCTCTGGCATGTCAACCACAGCACTCAGCTTGGTGTCATCTGCGAACCTGCCGAGGGTGCAGTCGATCCCACTGTCTTTGTCACTGATAAAGATATTAAATAGTACTGGTCCCAATAGAGACCTGAGAGACACCACTCATCACCAATCTCCATTGTGAACACATCCACTACCCGCTGGATGCGACCACCCATAAAATCCTTCACTCTCCAATTTAGAGGGGAGGATGTTGTGGAGGACCAAGTCAAAGGCCTTACAGAAGTCCAGATAGATGACATTCATAGCTTTTCCCTTGTCCACTGATGTAATCACTCCATCATAGAATGGCTGGACTCTCTGCTGGCATTAGGTAGTCAAAATATTGTCTCAGAAGTGATAAAATAAATGGATTTTTATAAATCCATAAAAGCATAAATAAATACATTTTTATTTGTTTACACCTAAGGCAGCCCCTTGAGGTGCATCATATAAGAGACATCTACTGCTCTTGCATCAGCCAGGCCACACGGCCTGACAGTGGAAGTGAAGCTGGACCATGTACCTTCTGTTCCCCCCTTGCAGTGCTGACAATGGTTAAAGTCCAGAGCCGTAGTTTGAGAAGGAGATGTAAGAAATCTGAGATCCCAGATAACAAGCATTTTGGGTGATTATTTGCTTTACAAGAACATCCTGCTGACTTCCTCCAGGATGCCAGGATAGGAGTCTAGTTTCAAGATTTTACAGGGTAGTCTGAGATTCTTATCAGCTAATTGCATTTTATAGTTTCTGAAATCAAGCTGTGAAAATAGAGAAAGAAACAATTATCTCTGATCATATCCTGTGCTTCTTTAGTTTCAGTACCCCATGTGTCAGTGGACAGGCACCTGCTTCAGACAGAAATGTAAGAATCCTATAGTAGTACCTGGTTGACCTCTTGTCATAATCCATTCTTTATTCACCCTTTCTCCAAAGGCCTCACCCTGCTCTCCACTAGTATTTGTCTTGCCATAAGGTATTTAATCATTTCAGTCATTAAAGCAGCAGATTCTGCTTCGGTATTCAGAATTAAGTGCCTAAATAGTTGCACAATCAGACCTACACATATGAACAGGCAACTAGTTATACTGGTAACATCCTTACACAATTTGAATGCCCAAATAAAATGTTGGCTCTGGCTGGTGTTACTACAATGTGGGATCCTACAGTGTGCTCCACTTGCACAGACATGCAGTTAGTTTACTGGAGTCCATGTGGGCAGTCCTGCCCTTTATGTCCTGGTAAATCCTTAGTAGCTCCATTTTGCAAGGCTTGAAGGGGTGAGACTCCCTGGGAATTCTCAGGTGTTCTTGGTGGATAAGGCATCTGGGATAATATGTCAAAAGATTCACTACACAGGATTATTATATGTGGAAAGATTAAACACAAAAAATAGTTATCACTATGAATTGAAATAGTCAAATACTTACCCTCTGATCTGTACTTGAGCCATAGCACTGATGTTGATATGGAGGTTAACTAAATTGCTGGTGGGATTAATCTTGTTAGAACTGGAAGAGACATGTAACAAGGGTTAAAGAAGGTTATTTAGCAGTACTCTAGATTGTTACAGATATAGCACTGAATACCACAAGGCCTACAGTTGGGAAGCAATACCATTGGACATATTACACCATGGGCTTGCTATTGTCACTCCTCGGTCTTGTAGGACACTAGTATTTAATTTTATATTATTTGAGCTTATCACATGTTTAATAATATAATCAACTCAAGCTTCTTTTAAAGAATCCTATAAGTTAAAATGATGATACAAATTTATTTAGCTCAGAATACCAAGTAAATTCCCCTATTCAGCTTGGCTATCTGTATATATAGGAGTATCTTAATAGAATACAAGGGTGTTTCATTGCACTGGAGGAAGGTACCAAGTAAATTCCCCTATTCAGCTTGGCTATCTGTATAGTAGTATCTTAATAGAATACAAGGGTGTTTCATTGCACTGGAGGAAGGCAGTGTTAATGAACAAGCTAGGCTTTGTTATAATAAAATTTGCTTTTAAGACTCTCCAAACTTGTGACTTCTGTATGACAGAGTCTCTGAAGAAAAATAACCAAAATAAACTGTTTCTTTACTTTTCTTATTTTCTTCCCTCCCCCATCCAGAGAGTGTTTACACTCTTAATCTCACTTAGAAGTGAAAACAGATCCTTATGTTTAAAGCCTAGTGCTCTCATTTTATTGTCTTTTCTTATTGCAAGTCCTCAGTAGAAAAGGTAGTTTCTCTTACTTCAAAAGGCCATCCCTATGGCTATAGCCCATTCATGTAAAGAAAGCTTTGCAGGTTAAATTCATGACGATAGTGAAAATAAATAATTACAGACTTAGAATTCGTTTAATTATGGGATAAGTAATACTAAGTTTGGAGGTTTTTTCAAGCAAGTGTGGAAACATTTCCTTGGTTCATGGAGAGTAAGTTTGTATTGGTGTCACAATTTACTGTTATCACATCTGGGTAGCATCAGTCAAATGGAAACATTCGGAGCAGGCCAGCATTCCCAGTGACTGACTCCTGAGGAGTAAAGGGCAATACTGCTTTGATCCAGGCTTTCTGGTTACAGATTACTAAAATTAGGAGCAGTTCTAATTTGTTTGTAAACTAATGCAGATTCCCCACAAACATAATTTGAACTTCTGATGTAATCCTGTATAGCCATTGCTTTAAGTACAAAAGTACAAAAAATTCTTAAAGTATAAAAATTACCATACTTCTAATTTGTTAGAATAAGCTGCTCTCCCATTTGTATAATGGTAGTACTTTCCATAGAGTTAAAATACATATCATATATATTTGGTATTTAAATCTTGTTTGTGCTTTATGGTATTTTGTAGAAAAGAAAATAGTTTAAATAAAAGTGCCAGGACATCTGCCTCCCTAAGTGGTATATAATTGCCTAGCAAAATCCACATCAGAAAAGGAATCAGATCTCAAGACACTCCTCAGCCTCTTGCTTATTTCCTGTAAGTAATGAACTTCAGTCTTGCAAATCAAAATATTTATTTTCCACTTGATGTTTTGGAGTAAATTAAAGGTCTCTCTTCTGAATAACTCAGACCAGGACACAAATTCAGACATGTTCTCTGCTTCTCTTTCCTTCCTTTTAGGTAATTTCCTCTTTCTGTCTTACAGATTTCTGTTTCCTTTTTCTTTTAAGATTGTTTTACCTGTTCACTTAGGACACAGAAATGCAGAAACTGTAGTGCTGCTTGAGAAGGAATGTACAAAACAGTGAGTTTTAACTGTAAGGTACATTCCCTATGCAAGAAGTTTTACTTCTTTTTTTTTTTTTTTAAGTAGCTGTATGGTCTTCAGCATTTTGATAGCAGATTGTGGAAACTGTCCTTTTTGGTAGCCCAACAAATTTCTTTTCTACATTTCAGTGAGTCACACTCATGGAGAAAGCATGAGATGTTGGTGTCCTGAAGCTCAGACTTATTCCTCAGTAAAGCCTTGTCACTTTTTCTACAAGAGTGACCTACCCTCAACTCTTATTACCTAGAAAGATCCAGCTACCCAAAAAACTCTAAACCTTCCCACTTCCACAGCATGAAAAGGGTAGTGACAAGAGCCTCTGATACCCATTTCAAACTGTACTGCTTGCATTAATGACCTGACAGTGAACAGTGGTATGGACAGCAGACCTACAAGCTAGACATTATTTCTTGCATCCCTCTCTGCAGGAGCCCAGGCTCAGATTTGCATGGTCTCCAGCTTGCCAGTCAGACCCCTGGGAGAGGGCGAGGGCCCGACCAAGCACCTCACTGTCTTTCTGCATGTTCTTTCCTTCAAGGGTTACATTCTGGAAACATGATTTAAACATTTAAAATGTCTCAGTTATTTACCATAGTGAACATGATCAAGGCCCTCATTAAAGGCCAGACATTAGCAATTAACTCTCTGTGTGTGGGGCAGGGAGGGCCCCATCAGGAACTGCAGTGTGCATTTGATGAGGATAGATGGAGCAGGAGCCCTGCCACCTACTGAAAAAGACTTGGGTTTGTTCTTGCTGTTATCCTAACCCAGCCTATCCTGTGCTTTTTTTGTCCCTGTGGAGGAAGTACTGCTGAGCATAAACCAAAAGATTCTCCAGCAGCAGTATTTCAGTCCCACAAATGCAGAGGAAACTAATGGACAAATGACAAAGGTTCACCTGCATCAAACTTCATGCCAGTAAATCAGTTGAGCAGATTTTAACTGCTTTCCTTCTATTTTCCAAATTGTCATGAGGAAGTGGCATGCCTTTTTTTTTTTTTTTTTTTCCCCAGAGCATGATACATTTTTAAATACAGAACTTTTTTACAAAGTGATCACTGTTCACTAATTCTGAAGTGGAAAAGAAAGTGCAAATTTGACAAATCTGTAGAAGATCCTTGGACCACTGACCAAAATCAGTTAACCTGAATTTTAACAAAATAAAATCTTAGAATGATTTTGCTAAAAGCTAACAAGGTTCCAGCTCCACAAATCCTCCTGAAGAAAGCTATCACAGGAAAGCCCATGAAATAACTACTTACACTGAAGAGTTAGAATGACCTTCTGACATATTAAATTTCAGATATCAGTAGGAATTCAGAATTTGAATAACCATACTCTTGATAAAACATCTAACCTTTTTATTTGCAGCTCAAAATTGATGCTGAAATCTGCATTTTCAAAATGCTGAACAGAAAATCGAATGCCTGTAGAGAACTGAGAAAGAAACAAAACAAGTTACTAAAAATGGTTGATCTCTCTATATCAAGAAAGCAGTACTGTTCAACATCGCATTTTACAGACTTGTATAAGATACTGTTGCTTTTTAAAATTAGTACGAAATAAAATCATCTAGTTGTTTTCAGGAAAAAATGCCATCCTGCCTGTGTATGTTACCAGATGGAAAACCTGGCTGGACAGAGGAAAGATCAAAAGGAACAGAGAAGCATACTCCCAGGAACACAGCGGTGGGCCTTTCTTCATCCAGACAGTCTTCGCTTTACTTTGCCAAGCCAAAAGAAAATAATAGCTGTCTGCTACCTCTCACCCCTGCCTCTACACATGCAAGCCTTTGTCCAGGTCTTCAGGGCTTCCTGCTCCTCCTGTTGTCTCTGTAACTGTGACATATGAGCTGCATGCTTTTAGGTGTTGCAGGGCTGACTGGTCACTTGTTTTTCTTCTAGAGGCTAAGTTAGCAGCACCTTGATGTTTTAGTTTGATTTGGTTTGAGCTTTTCATTGCAATTTCTGGGAGCCATAGTTCAGTTAAGAGGAATACAACTTCCAAGTTATATTTGCAGTTGAGTTTGCTACAACTTGCAGTATGTGATCACACACAATTACCAAAACTGAAGGAGATAAGGGCTTCCACTGGTGGTCCCTTGTGTTTATGCAGATCTTGCTTCCTCCCTCTGATAATTTCCATTTGCTTTGCAAGAAGGGCACGGAGTAAAGCAGAACAAGTTAATTCAGAAGAGAGAATCAAATTGCAAGGCTAACTAAAGATGGAATATACAATAGCATATGATGGGGTCTTTGTAACCCTCTCGTTGGACATAGTTACAGCCCCAGTATGCAAGTGGGAGGGGAGCATGTGGAGATGCCATCTGCCCTCCATGTTAATTTAATAAAATTGTACTGCAATGTTTAAATTAATGTTTTTAATTGCCTTATTTCAACTGCACGTGCTTTGAATCTGATAAGTTTTGAAACGTGAATTTTGCATTAAGACTCAGAGCAAAGTCTACAGCCGTAATTTTGTACAACTACTCACTCCACCCTACTTCCCCTGTTACCCAGTGGTAGAATTTCCTGCCAGATAACTTGCACACTGTGCTTTAATTTTTTTTAAAAAAGGATGGTTACACATAGCTACATTCTTCACGTGGAGAAACAATCTTCCTGAGAAATTCATTAAAAGGCATTAAGAAATGAGGACATCATTCTTTCATCTCTGCCAATATCAGACTAGATTACAGGGGAGAAAAAAAAATGAAAAAGAGTTGTCTGATTGGCATACTTTGCTTGACATACTTGGGGTAGCATTGTCAGCCACAGGACAGGAGACAACAATGTGGTTTTATGTTTGGGACATAGATTCAACATCACTGAAGAGGAGGTATTTTCCTCTGTGGGTGTCGTTTCAGATGTTTAAGCAATTACTTCTTCTCAAGCATTATTTTTTAAAAATTTTAATTCAATTCTCCTTCTTTCCTCACTTGCAGTGGTGCATGATTGAATCTTAATCCATCTCCAGAATGAGATTTAGTTAACATGTTTTAATTACTTCTTTCAGTTGTCCTATGCTGAAAGCAATATTGTCATCATGAAAGAAACTGCAAGTACAAATCTTTGAATTCTGACCATTTTAATGTCATACTTACAGTTAATCTCTATTTTTGTAAATAAAATCTTTAAGATGAAAAGATAATGCTCATTAAATTAAACAGAAGCTGAATAGCTGACTTGGAATAGAGATGTAAGCTACTTTTAAGACTACTTTTTGGAGATTATTTTAACAACTGTATTGATATTTCAATATCAACTGTCAGCAAGTTTGCTGATGATACAAAGCTGGGAGGAGTGGCTGACACACCAGAAGGCTGTGCTGCCATCCAGAGAGACCTGGACAGGCTGGAGAAATGGGCAGAGAAAAACTTAATGAAATATAACAAGAGCAAGTGTAGGATGTTACGTCTGGGCAGGAACAACCACAGGCTCCAGTTTAGGTTGGGAAATGATATATTAGAGAGCAGTGTAGGGGAAAGGGATCTGGGAGGCCTGGTGGACAGCAGGATGACCATGAGCCAGCACTGTGCCCTTGTGGCCAGGAAGGCCAATGGCATCCTGGGGTGCATTAGAAGGGGTGTGGTTAGTAGGTCAAGAGAGGTTCTCCTCCCCCTCTACTCTGCCCTGGTGAGGCCACATCTGGAATATTGTGTCCAGTTCTGGGCCCCACAGTTCAAGAAGGACAGGGAACTGCTTGAGAGAGTCCAGCGCAGAGCCACCAAGATGATTAAGGGAGTGGAGCATCTCCCTGATGAGGAAAGGCTGAGGGAGCTGGGTCTCTTTAGCTTGGAGAAGAGGAGACTGAGGGGTGACCTCATTAATGTTTATAAATATATAAAGGGTGAGTGGCACAAGGATGGAGCCAGACTCTTCTCGGTGACAACCAATGATAGGACAAGGGGCAGTGGGTGTGAGCTGGAACACAGGAGGTTCCGCTTAAACTTGAGAAGAAACTTCTTTATGGTGAGGGTGACAGAGCCCTGGAACAGGCTGCCCAGGGAGGTTGTGGAGTCTCCTTCTCTGGAGACATTAAAAACCCGCCTGGACGCCTTCCTGTGTGATCTCATTTAGGTTCTGGCAGGGGGATTGGACTAGATGATCTTTTAAGGTCCCTTCCAATCCCTGACATTCTGTGATTCTGTGAAGAATTGGTTTGGTACATACCAAGAAACAGGCAAGATCTTTGAGGTCTCACAGTCTTCTAACCTCACTTCTGTTCATTTCTATTAAGTTCCACATTGATCTACCAGAATTTACAATAAAACCTACATCTCACTTGATAAGCAGGCATAAGGAATCTTGTCATTCCGATGCATTCCAGCGTCATAACTAAGTACTGTGAGCACTCTTTGCCAGTGAGATGGTATCACAGGCATTTAGTTTGCACTGTGGGCCATATGGTGGTGTGATTTTCCTTCCCATTTCTTTTAATCTTCTTTTTCATATTTTTATCCTTTTTTTTTTAGCCACCAGGATATTACTGATAAAGTAAAGTAATTTCTGTGGCCAGTAAATGATTGTAAGGTCACAGGTTTTCAAAAAGTCAGAGATATACCAATTTTAATGACAATAATGCATTCTGAAGATATGAAGCGTCAGACAACTGTGTAGCCTGCTGCAGTATATCCCATGGGTTATATCACAAAGTCCTGACATAACCCTCATACTCAGAAGTTAATCTTAAAGAGTTCAAGAATTCTAGGATTTCAGGGTGCTGAAAAGTCATTACAGTGACTCAATAGTTAAGAGTTTTAGGAATGTTTGATTTTGACCTAGCTCTCCCTTCCCACTCCCTCACAACTTCCACAAAGAGTCCCTTTTGGACCAAATATTTTGAGAATAACTGATCTCCTGCCAGAGCAGAATTGTTTTGTAAAATTGGAAATGGATCAGAGCAGCCTTTCATGATTTATGCAATTTGTACAAAGGACTGGTATTTCACTGTTGGAAGTACATTTGCCATCATAAATAAGTTTGGACTGAAAAAGATCAAGTCCTTTCACCTTTACTAAGCTTTCAGGAGAGCTGGTTGCAAAGGTGAAGTTAGGCTTTAAGCTTTCACTCACTATAATCAAACACTTTTGCTATCTGGCTTTGTAAAGAGCTCTCTTCATATGTCTTAATTTTCAAGGGTTGGATTCTTTTGTTATAAGCCACAATATCCTTAAACATGTCATGAACCCTGCTGTTTTATTCTGCCACTTCTAAGTCTCTCTTTATGAAGTATTTTGCTTAGGAATATTTGGTAACAGTGCATTTATGACAGCCCTAGAGCTGATTCTGAAGAAAAAACAGGATTAGTTATGCTGTGAGAATTCATAAGGAGACAGGTGAGCGTAGTACTGCTTCAGTGGCCACCAAATAGCATTCCTCAAGTCTTCACACTGCCAGCATTTTGAGTCAAGGATGATGTGGAAACAGGGCTTTGGATTCAAAGGGAGGAATGTGGGGGTCTGTAGTCTAATACCTTCACACTCAGACCTTTCCATTGTTTATATTTATGACAATATGCAAACTACAAAGATTTGCTCCTAGTTATACAATGTTAGAGTGTCTCTGTGCTGAAACCACTAAGCAGGTATCTGAATTTGCTGGGTTTCTGGTAAAAGAAATTATCTGCCTTGACTTGGGATTTATCTATTTCTTTGGCCCATCACTGCCTCCTATCATCCCACTATGAAAACTCCATTCCTCAGAAACGTTTTTAATTACTGTTACTTTTTAGGAGTTTCATTTAGTAGAATAAAGCAAAAACTATAAAACCTTTTAGCCCTCTTCTCTATACGCACTGACTCCAATACCTATCCAGTCTGACTTCTTAGTGGAATGTCCTTCACACAAAATGTTTCAAGTACCCTCTTCAGACTTCTAGTTCACAGTAGTTCTACAGAGAAGGATCCTCACCAGACAGGCTCCTGATCCTGGTGGATCCACCACCTGGAGTTCATTTTTCAATGTTTTTCAGCTCCCTGTAATCCCAAAGAGTCTATTTGGGACTGCTTGTGACCATGAAGGCAGTTGACCATGAGATGCCTGGTCTCACACTCACTTTCAAAAGTTCTATGACTGATCTGAAGCTAACCCAAGTTCCAAATAAGCTCATTCTAGTCCTGGTCTCCTATCATATGACTCATTTGGTTCTTTTATCAAGGATTAGAGAGGAACTGCTTCAAGATCATAAGAGGCCAGGAAAACATCCCTCTATACAGACTCTGAAGAGTAAAATATTGATTTGCTATAGGACAAACCATAACTTAGTAGGGATTTTGAAAATACTAAGGAGATTTGCTTGGTTTCTTTCAAAGCCCCAGGCCCAATATGAAGAGCAAATAGTTGTAGTTTTCAATTAAAAGGTGTTGTTTATTCCCCATATCTGTTCATGCTGTTGACTGCTTCATTTTTATTAGGACAGCCTTTTATCTAGGTATAGAAGCTTCGATTATTTGTTTTTTAGTTAAATATTCATAGTATTTATGAATTTATGAGCAGAGCTAGAATTCCTCTGCAAGGGCATCCATGGCCGAACAGTCCTGGGTTCAACACTTCTGGGATTGCCCTGAACTGTTTTGTCATGAAAAACGGGCAAGTGATGACAATTATTGAATGGGTAGCACTTTTTTAACCTCTAAACTTATGTTTAATCATTATCTGCTGTCCATCATCTGCCATTATTCAGTTCTACTTTTGTCTAAAAAGAATGCTACCAATGTTGATTCCAACCACATTTTAATGGATATAAATCATATAAGACAACCCTTATGCACTCAAGAAGAGAATAAGGCTAAAGAAGCTATCATTTACTGTACCTATCTTAAGTAGAAATAAAACTGAGAAATAAAGAGATCACATTATGGATTGCGATTCTCTTCTCGTTATACCAGTACAACTTCTGTGACTTAAATTGAGTCAATCTCATTTTCTTTAGAGTAAGTGAAATAAAACTGTCCTGGTTTTGCTCTAGCAACATTAATCTTTCAGAACAATTGGTTAGTTTTTCAGAAGCACAGTTCTGCCTTTTGTTACACCAATAATTTCCTGTTCAATTAAATAATTTGGTTTAGGTGCTGCTTATTGTGACACATTCTGCTAACTGAATACTTTTCCATTTGCTCCTCTTTAAAATTCAATTAGATAACAATCAGTAAATGCATCTGGTTTTCCCTTACGTTTGCGCCAGCCACCATGGGGTTCCCAAGATCACAAACCACCATTCTAGTTTCATTTTCCATCTTGTAATCACAGCTCAGCACACGCAGTGCCTGTAACAAAAGGACATCAATACGGAGGTCAGAGACCACAGTGAAATGCATCCAGTTGGGCAAGTGATGTCTCTCTGACTGTGATATTTCTTTTGATTTCAGACATCTGCTCAGTGCACTTATCAAAACATTTAACTGGTTACTGTCAGACAATGGGGGAAAACTGATGCCAGGGAAAAACAAACAGTGAAGTTTCCCAGTACTTTAAAAGCCATGATGAGAACACTCCATTTCTAGTTTTAACATACTGCTTTGTTGTTGTGAATCATTCCTATAGCCATAATGACTTAACAGAGAAAAAAAGCGTAGGAAAAACTGGGTGAGGAGAACAGGGCTCACACTAATTGCACTAGTTGTATTATCCATCACTAGAAGTCTCTGTAGTGGAATTCTGGCATTGGTGGAACTTTGTTATGAACCAAATCTAGAACTTTATTTTCTAACCTATGGTAAAGTACTTAGAATATTAAACACTTCTGTAAAAAAATAAACTGTTAACCCGTGTTTATAATTTAGCAACAAAGGAGATAGATTTTCACATTATCAGAAATTAAAGTTTTTGATGTTTACAGCAATAAGTAAAATTTAACTGTTCTTCCAGCAACTGTTCATTCAAAGTCTAGTTTTACCTAACATTTCTCAGGCAGTTTTGTTTGACAGCTTTGAAGATACACTCATACAATTTCCCTCTAAAGCTGCTAATGTCAAATGTATCCTACCTTTTTCTTTTCAACCCTTTAGTCTTTATCACTAGTTGTTATAATCTGTAAACAAAACAGACTGTATAAAAAGAGGAACAGCTACAGAATAGTGGGAGTTAGGAGACACAGAGTAAGACAAAGTAACAAAATGCTTGGATTTTTTTCTATTTTCCTCTCTGGCATATTCAATAAAAGAAAATACTTCCATATATGTGCAGAAGTAAATCAGTTTTGTAAAAGCAGGATGCTCGCTCTCCCACTACCTTTCCTCTCATTTGTGATTGTCACAGATTAAGCAATATGTGCAGGGTCATGCTCTTTATACAAAAAGACCTGGGAAATCTCCAGACCACTGACAATCAATTCATTCTTATCTGTAAAAGCCAGCATAAGCATGCTGACCTTATAATTTCCTGAGACTAAAATAAAAGATCAGGCATGTTCTAAAAGAAGTCCACATGAAACATGCCCTCAGTACACACCTCAATGTACAGACACTTTTACAATTTGCTAGGAAGAAATAAAGTTTGTTACACAGCATGTCCAGTGCACTAATTGCCTGGCCAAGCCATTCTGGGGTTGGGAGTGAGGGATTTTTACAATCTTTCCAGCTGGCTGGTTAGAGCTGGGAAGCAACACAGGGCAGAAGACAGGGTGTTAACATATCTGAAACCAAACTTCTCTGGAAAATTGTTCATTTTAGCTTGATGTGTGGGTTTATAGTTTTGATTTTGTTTTGGGGGTATGGTGGTGAAATTGAAGTGTAAATGTTAGAAAATAAATATTAATCTATATTTGATATTTTGCAGTTTATTTATTAAAGCTGTATTTCACACCAGTACAGAGTAAATCATCCCTTATCACACAATTTTTTGTCCCTCAAAGGCTGAGCAAATAGGAGTTCTGCAAGTAGGTTTTCTGCAATTTGGAGGCTATGCTCTTAGACTGAAAATGATTAATGACACAGAATTTGTATGACCAGTATCAAAAAAGCTAATTTGTTCAGCCTGAAGATGTGACAAGGGTCAGCTGTGATAAAATTTCTTCAATACTGAGATGTATTGCATTTGCTTTTTCACTGATCAGCTTTTTGAGGTGGTTAAGTACAAAACAGGAAAATTAAAACCAAGCAGGAAGCAAGCAAAAGCAGAGACTTATACACCCAGTACTGTCAATATCATTGAGCTCATACGTAACTCAGACAGATGGAAGGTTTTGCCACAAAACCCTTCTACCTGCCACTGGTAACAATTTCTATTTTTATAGCAACACATGGTCTTTTTGGCTGTCTTGAGCAGAAGCAAAACCCCAACAATTAACACGTGGGCTCCCAGCATGCATTTTAACTAGAAAATGATTGGATGCTTTAAGTAATCCAGGCAGCCTACAAACTTGAAACTCTTTCTGGTGGTCTTAGTGATGAATCACTAGTTGACGCCAGAATAGTTAAGCACAACAGGCTGCAGAGTAAAAAACCTCCTCTCTTTTCTTGGCCAACACCTTCCAACTTTATTTTCTGAGGAAAACTGGATGGATTAGATACCAGGTACCAGAATCTAGCTTCTCATCTAGCTGATGTATGAAGAACTAGTGTCTGTCCTCACGAGGCTCAAATCACATCTTATCTAGCCAGCCACCGTGTACTTATTATAAGAATTTTCACAAAAAACAAGAAGGTTTCAGGTCTTTTTCCTATTTTAAGAGTGTCATGCTTTAGTTCAGAGCAGCATGGGGATAATGGTTCAGAAATTACCCATTGCAATATAAAACTGGTTGTGATCTGCAACAACTTTACAGTTCCCAGCCTGAGCAGAGACAGTTATGCCAAAATACATAATGTTTTTGGTGAGGAACAAATACCTATAAGGGCTTTGTATTTGCCTGATTTTCTTCTACTAATTATTCCATGTGAATTTTAGTTCCAGCCATTGCTACTGAGGCAGGATTGAGCTGTTCAGTATGGGGAACTCTTTCACTGGGTAAAGGACTGGTGCACAGTATGCAGGCAATGGCATGGGGTTCAAACATACAATCATGTTATTGTCAAGTAAGAATGTACCATACAGCAAATATATACTGTCTCTGGATCTACTGCTGGCCATGGAAATGTGAGGTCATATAACATGGTTATACATTTTTCGTTGCAGCTAATTGCAGTAACTCCACACCTACTGCATATAGACATTTATTATAAGCCAACAGGTTTCCAGTAACTAGTAAAGTCGTGGTAATTTACTCATTTACCTGGTCTCTGGACCTTATGAGTGTTTCCACAATACAACTAATGAATAACACATTTGATTCAATTGTAAGTCATTGTATCTCATTAATAGCTTTTGAGTGAAGGAAGTATCGGTATGTGCAAGAATCAATTAAACTTCAAAATCGTAGCCTTGACTTCAAACTTTAAGATCACACGTGTTCACTTGTCTCTCCGCTTGCATATGACCACATATGTATCTGCAAAATGCTACTCTTTTGATATGGTTGCACAGTCTATGTACAATACACTACAGAGTCAAGCCTGAGATAACAAGATAATCACAGCTGAGGCAGGTCAAACGTATTCTATAAAGTAGAAGGGAAGAGGTAGAAGGCAAGTGAATTTGCAGTTAAGTTGTTGGCTTTAACACTTTCTGAGTGTCAAATGAATGATACAGAATAACCCAATAAATTAATACAAGGAATTCTGCAGTTTGGAGAAAAACAGCTACATGGAGGATTGTAAATACTGATACATCAAAGAGTCAATTAAATCCTTAGATGCAGAGCTTTAAGAGCATTATTGCAACAGGATCTACCACAAATCCACCTGTCTGCTGAAATTACTTTGTATTAAATTAAATACATTTCAGGAGCAGTCACAGATGCCCCATTGGAAGGTTGTGTTACAAACACAAAAACAAGAACTAAGATACTGACTCCACTGCAACTGACAGCAAAATGTTCATTTTCATCTATGGTCCATACCTCAAAGGACCCACAAACTGAAAGATCTTTTTTCCAAATACCTCAGTGTTTACTGCATACCACTGTCATAATTTCTTCTGTGCTTTTGTCAAGCAGTTCAAATAGCCATATTTTTTTAAAGTACTATAGGTGGAATTAATTGAGTCCCTCTTTAATTTATACTAATTTACACTATGACCCCTGAGAATTTGGTCATCCTGGTAACACTGAACCTCTGATACCTAGGATTCTGATCACTCTGGGGGAAGAATCTGAAAAAACTGCTAATTCTTGTTTTGAGTGGTCAAATTACTTGATTTGTATGTTTAGACAGAATGAATTAAATTTTAAAAAAAGAACAGTAATGATATAGAAGTGCATCTTTTCCAAATGCACTTAGAAGCAAATTTTTTAGTTTATCTGATGAAACCATAATATAATTAAGACCATGGTTTTTAAAAAAATATACATTTCCCATTTAAAAGCAATAGAAAAAATAAACTTGCTTTCAGTACCATATGTAACCCTTGTGAAAACTGTACCTGCAATGCAAAAGGGAAGACTCTAAAAAAGACATAGATAGTAGGACTAATATTTTGATCCTTCTCAGAAAGAACATAACGACATCTCTTTGAATGGAATAAGTATGAAAAATGAGAGAATATTAAATAAATTATGTGTTGTAGTGAACTAAGTAAATGCAGGAAAAACAAAGGCAATTTTTCTATAAATCCAGAAGGATTCAGAACTGAGCTTGTCAAAAATGTATTTTATCTTCCACAAAATCTGAAGAAAATGAAAAAGTTGCATTACATTTCCTAGGCTTTTAAAAATTATTTTCAAAAGTAAAAGAATATTAAAGCACTTTCCCAACCCATTCTGTCTTATCCTTATTCTTCCGAAGCACCAGAATCTCCCACCTCATTTTTCCTTCCTTTCTGCATAAGCCTACTCTGCTGGCACTACAAAATTCTATTTTTCCTAAAATAATGAAAAGCCCTGAGTGATTTCTGTCCAGTCCAAATGATAGATAAGTGCTAATACATGCTGCAGGTTTTGGTGTAAGTGCCTCCTCTGACATCCTTGGTAATGGCTAAAAGAACAGCCAAAGATTCCTAAAGAGCACAAAGGAGAATACAACCAGGTGTAGTGTATTAAAGAGAACTTAAGTTTTGTAGATCACAGTCCAAAAAAACAGAGGCTATGCTAAGAGAACAAAAGAAACAAGACAACAGGAAGAGGCTTGTGACTATACTTATTTGTTTTGTGTTCAAAGATATGCTTCTGAGAAGTGAGATTGCAGAGAATTCCATATTCTCATCTTCGGTGACATCATTAGTTATCATTTTTTTTCAAACTGAGTTAACAGCCCATTAATAAAAACACTGACAGAAGGAGAATAAGGAAATACCATATAAGTTACTTTCAACTTCCTTAAAAACATTTGCTTTTAGAAAGGAAATTAACTTGCTTTCTCCCACTCTCACCCTTGAGGCCCTTCTGAACATTCCAGACACCGAGAGAAAAAAACAAGCTCATGTTGCAACAGCTTGGGAGATTTATGTGCAGATGAGGTGATTCAGACTTGCTGTCCAACAGAGAATACATGAACACTCTGCTTGTTTGCAGGATAGTGTTTCTCATCTTTGCTCTTAAAAAACAAACAGATCCAGAAAGGAAACACTGTATGTTCAGTACAGCTCAGCAGGACTTCAGTCAACATTAGTCCTTCTGTGAACACCGGCACATTTTGCATTGTAACTGCCTTTCTGTCCTATCCATAAGATAAAACAATTGACTACAAAGGACACCAACTTTGTCAAGTTTATACTGCAGTTAATGTTCAACTATTCAGGATATCAGAGACTAGGATACCCTTAATAAAACACTGATGTGCTGGAAGCATGAGACAGAAGTGTCCAAGTGTCTGGGGTTCAGAGGGTTCATTAACTCTGACTGAGAGCTGGTACCATGGGATCCAACATTGGAAGCACTCAGGGGATTCTACACTAACACTCCCTGCTACTGATAGAGAGTTTACTGGTTCAAAATCTGAACAATGTGATTATCTCTAGCCCTAGGAGAAATGTGACAGTATTTATGTGGTATTATAACCAAGTTAATAGCAAGGAGCTGGATCTGAGCTGGCTCTGAACAGAATGGTCCTGGCCTTTCCATCTTTTAGTGACATGGCTAATCTTTAGCATGGACTGTGTGAGCAAGGATAGCTGAGAGTCGATGGAATCTGCCTTCCTCAGAGGCACCTCTCTACTTGTTGCTTTCAGCTGGTATAGTCTATGTAGGTTAACCTCGCTCTTAGTTCTTCTGCTTTATTATCACTAACATTTTGATTTTCATTTACCTTGCTGTTGCGTTCAACCCCAGTGTAATCTGCTTCAGGTGGAATCTTTATATGTAGCTCAGCTTCATAGGCGCCTTCCCCATCATTCCTTGGATTTATTATGAGCATGACACAGTTTTCTTCTCCAATTATTAGCTGATCTTTATCTCTATATAGAACATACTACTTGTCAGGAGTTAAAACATGCACGATTATGATTTATATATGAATAAAGTAGAAGGACATTTTGCTCTCATAGCATCTGTTGTGGAAAATATTCTGTGAACACAGAGTAAAACATTCTCCATAAAAAATGACCCCATGGAAAAGTATGCCAGCAACTGGGTAGGACAGAGGTCAAGAGAAAACACCACCATGGACAATCAAAGTGGACAGCCACAGAACTTGAGAGGTAGTTGTATAAAATTTCAGAGCCTGACTACTTTCTGACCAGAAAGAAGTCTCTGGTGGAGAAATGACTTGCCACAGGGGTCCCATCAGCATTGTTTTCTGAAGGCCACAAAGGTGGTGGGATTCCAGTTTTCACCACATGTCTATTATAAAATGAACAATGACAGAAGATCTCCTGAGACCTGCAATGGCACTGTGCCTTTTCCTTTCACAGCTACATACTGATTTTGACGGCACACAGTCAGATAACTGTCAGAGGTTGCCCACTTGTCCTGCTTGGTGTATTTCTCCTTCCATAGGAAGAATTGTTGCCGTGTTTTGAAATTATTTTATTATGTGATTAATTTACTTCACTGTATACTGAGTTCAGAATTGTGTCCCAAGTTCAAAGTCACTGGCAGACTGCAATACACAAATTTAAAATCTCCTTTGAACAACAATTTGTTATTATCTCTTGACATTCAGCGAACTAGAACCATTCCACCTGTAAACTATATTTTCTATGAGAAACATTAAGCATCATGAATGTGTCTGACAAAGATACATTTCAAGTACATATTTCTCCATTTCTTGGTTTTCTAGTTGAAATAGATGCGCAAGCTAAAATCTGGAAATGAGGTAAGAATGAGTAGCTATGCATAGAACTGTATTCTACATATTTCATTCTATTAAAGCTGTTAGAAGTGTCTGGATTTTGTTATACAGCATCATTTATTTTATTTAACTTACGGCATAGCAGAAAGCTGCAAGTCAGGAATGCACAAGTTGTCCTCCCCACAGTCGACCAGAATGTAAGCCTGTATTGTTGTAAAATAAAAAAATATAATACAATTAGTACATGCTTCAATGTTCAAATCACTTCATTAAATAACACTAATCTAAGTGTCTTAAATATCACTAGTACTGCCCCAGCAAATTAATCTCTTTCTCCTTTCTGTAAGTTCCTTTCCACACGAGTAGTGGGAGACTATTTAGTCTGTCAGCTACATCCTTAGCAGAACAATATAATCTTTCAGGCCCTTTCCCACACTGACTTGGCTTACATCTTCTAGAATGCAATTAAAACTATGAACACAACAAAGTTTTGGAAATGCTTTAAAGGCCTGCCTGGTTCTATATTTATATTCAATTTACATTTTGAATTAATTAAATCCTTGTTGTGTAATTTCTGGGCATGGCATTCTGTTTTAAGGAAGATGACACACATAGTATTTGTAAATGGTTTCACATTTATATACAGAAAATGTGGCAAGCAAAATTCATACCTGTTCTGTTACCGAGCTTTTCTGGTAATAGTTCAATATTGGCTTCACTGTCAAGCTATCTTCAAAACTGGATTCATCCAAACTATAATTCAAGTTTATATTGATGGGAGATAATTTATCTCTAAATTCTGTTTCATCCTGTGAGTGACAATCACATAATAAAAACCAATGGTTTAATATAATTATTTCAGATTAGTATGGTATAGTAACAGATTCAGACTTTAGTCTTTATTGAAGGTAAAGACACTGTTCTTTGACAGCTGCTGGCCAAATTCTGGCTGTATGTAATGTCACTAGGAAAGCAAAGTGACTCACCAGTGACTGGAATGCCCAGAATACATTGCCTCCACAGCCCCACATCTGGCAGAAGCTGGCTGAGCTGAGTAGACTCAGAATTTTTTCAAAGCACTAGCCTAAAATGAAGCTGTTTAAAAGAGATGCACAGAACCAGCTCCTATCAGCTACTGCCCATCTTCCTTTCGGAACGGAGGGAGGACATGTGGATTTGTGGAGGTAATATTGTTGGTTTGTTCCACAACCAAGAATTTATATGGATCGAGCAGTGGTAAAACTACACTACCTTTATTTCCTAGATAATTCCTTACATATTGCTTGAGACTCCTCCATTTCACCTCCCACTGCATTTCCAGGACCAGTCTTGGAATCTGCTTCAATACCATGAGGTAATTCCAGCTGCAATTGAGTAACTATTGACCTTCACAACTTCAGTTCCACAGTTTTATTTTTTCTAAAACATTTTAAAATATCTTTAAAATATTTTTTAAATATATGAATTCTAGGCCAATATTGCTGGTGACGCTCCTTTAAAATATCTGTTGGATCTTAATTGGCATGACATTTAACAAGTTTAGTTGATTATCCCACTGTGAATACTATAGGGAGAGCAATCTTGCATTTTTGTATCATGAGATGCAATATTTAATCAGAATTTCCAGAAGAGCACAAAATGAATGTATTTGTACAGAGGAACTGTATACTCTTCTTCAAAGGAAGTCTTTCTTTTATATTACATTGACAAAGGATAAGCCAAAGATTTACATAGGAAATTTTGCCCAGGTAGAATGTTCCGGACACCCAGATGAGGGCTTTCTTATCTCACACTTCTGTAATTTTGTCATCCAAGAACAAAGGAAATTGTTCTTTCTTTTCCAGTGGCTTTTAAAAAATATTATTATCTTTAAATCCCTGATACTACTCAAATGATGATGACAGTCCAAAATATTTGAAATAACTTACTCTCAGATAAACAAGAAAGTCCTGGCAACGGAGCTCTTTCTGTCTTTCTAACACAATGGAGAAGTAATGATGTGACTGATGGTAATCAAAGAAGAGGGTCCTCTTAACAGCTCCTTTCTGTTTCAATGAATCTAATTGCAATTCACCTTTCAGCACTACAGGATACAAATAAATAATATATTTATTTATTTAACATGTTAAGAAAAAATAGTAAACAATTCATTGTATATTATCATTAATTACTCTAACAAAGTCTTCCAAGTAAAATTAATCCATGCTTTAAGTGCCTGTCTGTATAGCAGCACACTAATTTTTGATCCAAAGTATAAAATACATGTAATTTAAGCTTTCTAATTTCATTTACAGATCATATGTGTACAGGATGTGTCTTTTTTTTTTTTTTTTTCCCTCCAAAACAGAACATTCTCCAATAGGGTACATTCTTGGTTTTATTTGGAAAATGGCTCCAAGTGAATAAAAAATCCTTCAAAAGTGAATAATACAAACTTTATGCAATATATCTATACCATCTGTATCTTTATCGTTTTAACTGTATTTTCTTGCCTCAGGAGGATCTAACTTCTACCATCTTTCAAGATGTAAGAAAAAAATACATCTGAAATTAGAGTGGGACAGAGTAAATTATAAGATATAAAACATTTCTTACCTATCTCATCTGAAATACTTTGACCTTCAAAGTCTGCGCAGACTCTTACAGTAAAGCTATATACAAAAAAGAAGTAATTATTAGCAGAAAGACAGCTGACCTGGGAATCAGCAGTTCCCAATTCAAACCTTTCAGGTTTTCTTTTCCTTTTCTTAAAAAGATGTTCACTGAGATCTGTATTTAGCTACCTAAGATATTCCCTAAGTTAGCAAGTCTCCTAGGCTTCACTAATAATGAAAGAAGATAGGGTCTGAATGTCTTCCTTGGAAAGATATGGAAAAGAGTCTCTGTCCCCACTAATTCTTGAGACAGCCTACAAAGATCACCCTCTAATACTAATGGCAAAGTTGGATTCCCTATGCTGAGCTTCATCAAACCACCTTTGTATGAGGTTATCATCTGTAGAAGTCATCATGGCCAAATAAGAAAAATCCTTGAGCATCTGGTCAACACCCACCCAGGCTGTTTTCTAGCAAATCAAAGCACACTGGATGATTCCCATTGGAATTACTATAAGGCTTTCACGATATCAAGAGGCTATAATTCATTCCAAACATACCAACTGAATTGTTCAATTTTTGTTGCACAAGACTAACCAGAATGTATTGTATTTAATTTGCTAAGTTTTGCAGAAGTTGGCAGATACATGATCTAAATCAAAGCACAGAGAAACTAGTTATTCATATTCCTTATTTAGTATGCAAATGCAACGCATTCTACACAATGCAACACATTACGTTATTTGTTTTTCATTTGCCTCATCATAGTCTACAGCAAGCTTTTTTGAGCCTAGCAATATTCACATTACAATTATAACTGTATTATACAAACACCACCTCAGCCATAATTAGTTATTTCTCATAATAAACATTTATTTCCACTTCTCTGTAAGACAGGCAATAGATTTGCAGTTATACTCAACAACTGACAGAAGAAGCCTTTTCTAGTTTTATTGGCTGATAACTTCTAACAAGACTTACCGTAATTAATTAACAAAACCTAAAAAATTACAAATGCTTATAGAAAAGTTTCACTTTGTAAGGAATCTCTGCAAGTTATATAAATATTTAAATTGATCATATTTTAAAAAAGCTTTCACAAATTACTCTGGATGGCTAGGGAAAGTTATAATGACGCTTGTTGATGCTATTAGCATGGCGTACCTCCTTGATGAGTGACAAAACAAGAAATCTGTCACTGGAAAGATGCTCTTGATGTTTGATTCCTTCTGTCACTCCACAAGGACTTCTCCACATCATTGTTCCCAAAGAAGTCCCATGTAATGTAACAAAATTGCTCAGGTGAAAGATTTGGGACTTCCTAAAACTTGTAAGCACCCCTGGTTGCCAATCATTCTTACAGAATATTTTCATGGGATCAGAATATATTTTGTTTTGTATATGGAAGACTCAGCTAAATATGAATTGTAGCTCAGCACTGCAAGATGTCAAATTTTTAAAATAAAACAAATTTGAACTAGCCATTGCTCTTAATCTCCTCACTACTGCTATACTATATACTAACTTTTACATGCAGTGAATTCAAAATCAGTAACATAACCTTTGAAATAACCTGTAATCACATTCTAATTGCGTGTTTGCTTCCTCTGTCAAATGTAATGAAACTGTGCCACATCTGGGATTCATGTAACTCTCATGACCTTATTAAACACTTTCCTCTTGGGCAAAAAAAACTGCCTTATGCCATTAAACTCCACTTAACCATAGCGTTCAAATGACATTATGAGTGTTGATTCATGTTCCATGCAGAAACTGCAAATTCAGTCATATTCCTACTACTTTAAAACTATGAGTTAACAGATGAAGAACCAATTATTTCCTAGTACACAAGAACAAAAAAACGAGAAAAGCTTGTGTAATTGCATAAATGCAATTTAGACTTCAGGCTTCACAGGTCAGTCGCGCACATCATGGCATATGAGTGTATCTTCTCAAATGTAAACTCATGAATTGCTATCCTATTAAACTTGGTGATCCTGCTTTAGATGTCTTACGCTACTTTTGCACTGTTGTCTTTAAAAAAAGGTTGAGTTATAAATCTGGCTTGAAATGCTTGACTTGTTAAACAGCACGATTTCAGTATATGTTTAATTTAATGTAACAAGTAGAATAATTCATCACACACATTTGATAACAGAAGTCATGTTCTTAAGTATTACTGTAAGAGCCAAGATTTAATCCTTCCACTCAAGGCAGGGCATATATAAAAGCAAAAAAGCAAAAATTTGAATTTTATTAGGCTCCCAGCCTCTGGCCATACAAGAGGCAAGGCCATGGATTCAGCAGAACTCTGCCACACATTCGTGACTTTATGGATATTTAGGTCAGAATAGTTCTAAAGACATCACAGATTTCAATCACAAATCCAGACAAATTGAGATATGCTCATCACTTCAACAAGATGATGCTACGGAGATATAGAGGGACGCTTTAGCTGTGAGGAAAAGAAGAGCCGAGGAAAAGACGGACCACAAAAGAGGACAGGAGTGTAAATGATTTATAAGATTTAAGATCTTACTCCTAAGTACAGTAAAAAATACAATAGTTGAGCTTTTGAGCCTGCTTGTAGGAGCAATCAACCAAACAAGACAATTAACAATCAAAGGAAGAAAACTTCAGCAGATAAGAAACAACTGGGAAACAGTCCATTATCCTAAAGCATACAAACTTTTATGTGCTGTATCAATCTTGCCTCTCCGAAGAGATTCCCACACTGCATTTATTCTCCAGTGTCTGTCATCACTATAACCTTATGGTTTGACTAGTATTTGACTGTAGCTACAAAACAGAGGCAAAGCCTTAAAACTGAACACACTAGCTTTTCCTGGTAATCTTGGAGCAGAAAAGAAGTTTGTTTGAAATAATGTTCTTCTGGTAGACAGAAACATTTTTAATATTATTAGAACAAGAAGCTTAAAAATATTCCTCTTTCTTCAAAACTACTCACGGCATAGACTGGGATAGTCTCTTTAGAAGTCAAACCAAATTACCCAATATTACTTGAAATGGTTAATCCTTAGAAAGTCAGTTACCTCCAAATAATGTTTTCTGGACTGCAGTTTGTACCAGAAGAAATTTATTTTGGTCTGGCTACTCTAGTAGGTGAAAAAAGTAAGAAACCTACTTCAGGAAGTGAACAGCAAGGAATTATCAGATCCTCCCATACATCATTTGTCATTGTTAACAATTTCTGTAGCTCACAGGATGGCACATGAAGAGGAAGAATGGATAATGCCTTAGGAGAAAGGCACTTTAAGCTTTGATGCTTTGGACCTCCATTCTGTGTGAGGCTGATACCCAGTCTGCAAGATTACAAACCTCTACAGGATAGCAGAAGCTGTTATCACCTACTGATGAATGATATTTAAACAAACTGTTTCCTCGTTGAAGAATAATATGCAAAAGCAAGTCAATGTACGTGTATTATGATACTCTGACACTTGGCCAGCTTTCTGATTTTACCATGCCAAAGTCTAACCCAGTGACCCATAATGACCAACATGGAGCTCTAATGCTGAAGGCTTTCCATGGCTAGGCTCAGGCTACATCACAGCCAAGCTGCTGTAACACAAGGGCTGCTAGGTAACTCAAATCACTGTCTTTTGGATGTCTGTAGGGCTACTAAAACCATCAAAGGACGCAGCTGCATTCCTGGCACAGCAGGGGTCTGCAACAAAGCAATGGGCTTCCTGGTAGCAACTGTCACCAGCTGCCTACTTCCCTCCCATCAGCCCCTGGGGTACAAGGTGTGCATCTTCTGACTCTTGGCCATACTTTGCTGTCTGACTCATGGAGTCAGGCTGGACAGCAGGCTACGGCAAATCTCACACAAGTTCGTCTCAATAAAGTACAAGGGCCCTTAGGTCCATACCCATGGGATACTGATCACATCCAGTTCCAAATTAAGTCAATGGGAAAATAAAAGACTAGCAGTAGAAAGGCGCAAAATTAGAAAAACAGTCCAAAAATGATGCAGTTAGGAAGAGTTGAAACATGATTATTTTGGGGTTTTATATTTTTGGTAGGAGTTTTGTATTCAGCTTTTTTTGAAGTATATGTAGTAATGTTTCATTTGCTGAATCTAGCTTACTCAAGATTATAAATATTTTATTCCCATTTTAATAATAACATATTTGGAGATATAAGAATGACAATTCTTTTTCAAATTATTTTTTGATAGTAGGAACTTAAGGATCAGAAATTTCAAGCAGTTTGCCTCTGGTTTAGTGGGCATACAGAAGGTGGACAACTGGGTTCCCTGAGGAAGCCTACAAGGCACATCTCAGATTAGTCACTGAAACCTGAAAAGCACTAACAAATAAAAAATACATTCTACAAATTGACTTTTTATCATGATTGGACACTTCTGTGCTACCTAACCTTTGGTAAGTCAGGTAACTTCTCCAACCTCTTGCTTCTCTGCCAAATGGAAGTAACAATATTTGCACACTACCTTTAGTTAGTGAGAGGTGGTGTAAATAAAATATGCAGATACATTTAAGCACAAAGTAGCAACAAAATAGATAGTGAATAATCAGATCTCAAATGGTAATAAAAATAACAATGAAGGGATAAATTAGACCTCTTGAAAGCTGGAACCCAGTCTTGGACTTAACAGATCATATATGTGGAAACAGCTTTTGAAAAATGTAAATGATTGATTTATTCACCCCTTTTTTACAGAAATTAACCTGCATCTTTCACACCATTTAAAAAAAAGTCTTTTTACATTTTCTTTAATAGCTTCAAAGTTGCAGAATTTGTTCCAAATTTGACAGTTCTGCAAAATCAGAAATAGCCACATTTTGATATAGCAGAGAAAGAATTATATGTTTCTAGAAGTTCAGAACAATTATCTTAGGACTGTCCATAAAAATGATTTTTTGTTCATGTTTCTTCTGTGCTTCAGCTTTCCAATTTATATCATGGCAAAAATAATATTTTCCTAATACCTGAAAATGTACAATAATCCACATTACTCATACACACGCTTCCTGAAACTTTTCTTGTAGGAGGTTTCCTTTCATTCTAATTTTGCAGTGTCAGTCGTTAGACATTTTATACAAGTTGCAGAGCTGGCTAAGAGATACAGAAATCTATCCCATGGGACTGAGGAATTCTTTGCCTGTTGGAGTTTCCCTACTAATTGTTTTCATATGTACAATACAAGCTTATATCAACTATGGAGAAAAATTACGGCATGGAAAATAGCAGCTGCTCTTCAGTTGTTTTGTAATACGACCTAAATCTTTAGGGAAGAGTATTTCAGAACAAAGCAGACAGAAATTAAATTATGCTCCTATTAAAACTCTTGTAGACATGAACAAACACCTTCTGGCATATTGTAAAACAGAAATGAAAAGTAAAGAAAAAAAATATATTTTAAAGAAGCATACTTTGTTTTTTCTCCCTTTTTAAAACAGTATC